TTAGGTTATTGTTAATATTTCACTGTAAATAGGTCAACCAAAATTGTGCCCTGCTTGTAACAATGGTGACGTACCATCTGGTGCACATATTTGTGTTATATGCAAAATAGCAGTACATGCATTAAACGAATGTTCTATGATTTATGGTGAAGAAGGATATGGGCAGGAACGAATCTGTCTTTCTTGCTCTTCATAAGGAAGGCTCATAAAACATTCTCGCTACAAGAGAAGTAGAAAATTGGCGAGGTTTAATCGTAAATAATAAAAAGCGCAAGGCAAAATATTTGAGAGATGATCCATGCGGTATACAAGACGCTTTGACGTGGAGAAGTGCTAAACTCCCGATAATAAAAAATGGGAGCTCCATGGAGTTACAAGCAATAAGAATAGAGGATCAAAATTATTGCCTTATCAATACATGTGCATTCGACAGCTTGCTACAAATTGTCCTCGCCGCCTTGTCAGATTACAAAGATATCGAAAATGAGGTATGTATATTACTTCGAAAGTAACTTTTTATAAGTAAAATCATATGTACCGAGCGACTCGTGTAAAGTATTGATTGTGTTTCTCACATATACGGTCTAAAATAAAGATACATAATATTGAAGTTATAATTATATTCGTAAATAAGAAACGTTGTCCTATATACATGATTTTACTTATAAAACTCACTCTTAAATCATTCGTACAGAATTAATTGTATTTCTTGAGATAGAAAATTCATCTAGTTTCAATTATTATGCTTTATTGTAGATACGCAAAATAGAAAATAATAAGCTATTTGAAATAGCAAAAGATATTTTGAAAAATGGAATCAGAGCGTACACATATAAATTACGTGCACAAATCCTTTTAGACATTTTTAAGTGTCGAGATATAGATCGTGAAAATTGTGTTCAAGTGGATTGTGAAACTAACGTTGACTATTTGGCGGGTCAACTTTTTAAAAACAGCCCAAGTTTTGAGGAAAATTCCATATGTGATAAAGGGTGCCCAGTTAGACGGAAGTCATTACCAGTAGCACAAATTGAGACTATATGTTACATAACTATATATTACAAGGAGACGTATATAACATTATACAAAACATTGTTGCATTAAAAGGCAACAAAAAATGTTACCGTGAACAGTGCGCAGGTTTTGAGACAACAAAATTATGTAAAATATAGGTAATTTGAATCTTATTGTTTCCGAACACAAATTTTTACGTAATTGAAAACAACATATAATTTAACTAATGTTATGCATTACATTTATACAAATTACACACAAACAGCATATTAATCGGCCATTAGTACATATAAAAAACACACTATATCACACACTATAACACACACTATATCACACACAATAATACAGTATTTACATTATTATGCTCACATTGTGCAAAATCTACACGGAATATTTCTTCAGGACCTATAGTGATATTTGATATTTACACTATTGCCACAAACACATCTATAAAATTAGACAAAATAGATCATAAAATAGCAAATCCTTTGGATCCCGAGAAGGAACTACAACTAAATGGGATTGTCGATTTTAAAAATCCGGCCATGGCAAGACGTGGATCTGCTACAGAAATGGGACACTATACTGCAATAATCCCACGCCCCGGAAATTGCTGGAAAGAATATAATGATCTCACGTCATCAGAGAAAAATATTAAAAAAGTGTGTGATGTAAATCCACATCTTCTAGTATATAAGTCAAACAAATAAATATGATGACACAAATAATAGATACATTGTTATTTACTGTCAAAAGTACAGTACAATTCATTCCTAAAACTGTAAAACTAATTTTCATTGTATACTTACATGTGCTCTTGTACAGCAATCCTTGAAAGCGAGTAATATTCCGAATAAAATTCCAATTTGCGATATTCTTAGAGCAATTAAATCTAGAAACATTTTGACACCAAAATGAGCCGAGCAATTAATTGCTTTAAGGTACTTTACTCTTGTACGCGAGCCAGCACAGCCACACTCTTGGTCGAATTTTTCGACTTAAACGGTGAGCAAAAAAATCCGATTCGCGATATTCTTAGAGCAATTAAATCTAGAAACATTTTGACACCAAAATGAGCCGAGCAATTAATTGCTTTAAGGTACTTTACTCTTGTACGCGAGCCAGCACAGCCACACTCTTGGTCGAATTTTTCGACTTAAACGGTGAGCAAAAAAATCCGATTCGCGATATTCTTAGAGCAATTAAATCTAGAAACATTTTGACACCAAAATGAGCCGAGCAATTAATTGCTTTAAGGTACTTTACTCTTGTACGCGAGCCAGCACAGCCACACTCTTGGTCGAATTTTTCGACTTAAACGGTGAGCAAAAAAATCGAGAATAGAACAAAATTTAGCAAAAAATAGCCCTTCAAGAATATGTACTTGATTTTTCATTTGCTGCTTTTTTTCTTTGTGGCTGTGCTAACTTTGATCTTAAGCTAGCACAGCCATGGGTTTTAACGAATCGGCTGGAGCAAAAAATCGGGAATAGAGCAAAAAATTAGCAAAAAAATAGCAAAACAATGTGGTATAGGTCGCGTTTGATTGTGCTGAAGTGGCTGTGCCAGCTTAATAGACGTAATATTCTTATATGTATAGGTTCTCCTAATACACAATTTTCATATATAGATACATATACAGGGTGTTTCAGTAACTCTGTTACAAGGCAATATCTCCGTTATCGTTAATGATACGCAAAAATGCCTAAGGAAGAAATTGTTTGGTTCGAAGGAACACACATTATGGTGAGAATTATTTCTTTGTCAAGATCATATTTTTAGAGTCTTCAAGGTCATCGATATTTTTTTAAATAGGACTACATATTTTTATTATTATAACGTAATAGCTGAGGTCAAGACGAATCCATTAAAAGGGACACCCTGTACATATCAACACTTATTTATACTTCCGTTCTCTATTTCTTGTATTGTGTGCGTTTAATTTCCTTCGGTTTTCATCACCATTTTTAATAGATAATCAGAAACAAAAATTATTTTCCTTTCAAACCAAAAATTATTTTTTTATGATCACCTAGTAAAAATGATGATCGAATGCGAGATGAAATGAAATTGATTACAATACAGAAAAAGTATAGAAATATGCGAAATATAAATGAATGCACATTTACACATGTACGGCGAAAACCATACATTACGAGAATCTATATACATAGACATACAATGAGTGCAGAAAGTATTCGTACAGAAGAGATTTTTATTTAAAAAAGCTTTATTTGTGTGGAAAATAAACATTAATTAACAATTTATTAACAATGGATACAATAGTTAGTATCTTTCTCAAAATTATTTTATCTAAAAAGATGTACAGTTGAGATATATTATCTTAATAATAAGCGAAAAAAAAAAATGAAAAATTATATTATTTAAAATGCACAAAAAGTATTCGCACAATCGAGTATTTTAGCTTCTATATATATATATATATATATACTCAGGTGCAAAAAAAGCGGTACACTAAAAAATTATGAAAAATTAACCAAATTTCAAATGATCATAACTTGGTAAATAATGAAGATAAAAATATGTTTAAAAAAGGAAAATAAAGCTTGAAGTGTCCACTTTAAGAATATTTAAACGGCAATTATAAGCGGTAATTTTTTTAAAAATGGCGAAAGACAAAATGAGAAGATGTAAAATTTGTAATCAAAGGTGCGAGTTTGCGACGATGCACGGCGTGAATCAGGTATCGTAGCTCAAACTCAATGAGACCAAATGCACAAGAAAATATGGACTTTTATCTTTAAAATACTTTTTTACGGAGTTTGATACGATCATTTTTCACTGAGTTATTCCAAATTTAAGATATCGCTGTCATTAGCACAAATTATGGCTGTAATTCATGTCAATATGAACTGCATAGAGTTTGACAGGTCGGAATTGAATCTCAATTTGTGTGTGTGTGTGTG